TAATCCTATCAAGGTTATAGTACAAATTAAAAGGTTATACTACTATATCTTTAAACATTATTTTTTATGAGTAACATTATATACATTCTTCATATGAGAAACTGTGTAAAAAACACTTAAGCATACCTTTTTGGTGATATTTTCTTCAGCTTCGAATCATATAAATTAACCACCCAATATTAGTTTTAGTATATATTTGTAGCCATTTACAGAGAAAATGTTTTTGCATTTTCTATTAATTTCTGATCGTTTAAGTAAAGTTCGATGAAACATTATGCTTAAGTACGACACAATTAAGACATCAGACACGGCTGATGTTCTAAACTATTAAACTTGTCGAGCTCCTTTGAGAGTTTCGTTAGCTTTGAGAAGCATCACTTGTTCATGTATAAATTAGCCTTTTACAGGGTATAAAGCTGTAAATTAGTTTACACGTTTGTGTTTATTTATGTTTCTAAGTTCAAAATGAATATTTACGTTTAATCTAAAAACGTTAGCTTCCTTGGTTTGAGAACGTATGCAATAATGCCAATATTATGTGACAGAGAAATATAGCATTACCAAAGAGATACAATTCCATTGCTAGAAGTTTAATATTTACTCCCTCATAATATTGAGCTCTTAGTTTTAAAGAATTTTAAATGGAAGAGACTGTTTTACAAATGAACAAACATAATATTTGAATAATAATATCTTGTCCTTAAGAATTTATTTTGGAAGATAAAAAAATGTCATAAAATACTTTCTTGAACTATGTATTGTTGCCGAAAAGCTTAGTTTACGATAGGAAGATCATAAAGATGGGAGGTTATGACTGCACTAACTGTCCCTGCATTAGTGATGCATGTAAACAGGTGCTCTGTAAGGTGCTTGAATCGGTAATGGCCGTTAATGGAACTGGAGCAAAACACTGACACGCTGAAATTAATCTCTTATCATGTAAACACATTTTAAAAATTGTAAAAAATAGACTTATAGTGTTTTTATTCATTATAAGTCATTAAAACATTTATTGTCTCTACAAATTATATGTTTACTAGTTTTAATGGCTAATTTAATGAAAAAAATTCGTAAAAGAAATGAAGCGAGTTTATGAGGACTAATATATTAGATTTTGACAACACCATGAATTCAATTTTTTAGCTTGATGAGAAAATGTTTTGTTCTAGTCTCGTCAACAGACCTCCGACTTAAAACAAGATTACGGTAATTGATAGAGAAGGCGCCCGTGGCAGTCCTGATTAATTTACCTAATAGTTTTATCTAGCAATTCATTTAAAGTTTACCTCCTGGATATAGGTATACACATTTATTACTTTAATCTATGAGCTCACTAATTGTTCTACCATGTGAATAACTGTACCAACTTCACTTGCATTTCTTTATTATTATAGTTGATCGCATTTAGGCGAATAAAAAAAAAACATATTTATTTTTTCATTTACATCATGATAAAATTACTGTGGTTCGTTATAATTTAGCATTTTATACTGAGAGAATAAGCTTTTAGCTCAAAAAGGATAAAAACTACTAGATCATCCAAGTGTTACAAAATGTGTCAAATAACAATTTAGGTTTCTATGTGTGTCTATGTGAGAGCTTTTTTCCAATAAAGAAATGGCAATATGCATTGACAGACAGTCACAAACTAAACAAAAACATACAGACATTTGCACCAGTTTATTAAAGGGATTTTTCTTAGATATATCATCTATATCAGCTATAATATTGTCAGCTATAATATTGTAACAGTGGCAAAGTAAAATTTGTGGTTATTCTTTGTTATTTACTGCACACGGATGAAAATTAGCTTACTCTAAAAGTTTGCTGCGACGGGGGTGTTTAGAATGAAAAGAAGTTTACAAATGATTATAAAGGTAATCAATATATGTTCGTAGTGAAAAGTATTCACACATCCAGTATTTAAAATAGTTCGTGTAATTTGCAGAATCCACACATGATTATATTTCACCATACAAGCCCAGGACAGGTCATTCGAGATGCAAATACCTTCTGGTGCAGCAGTTTGCATCCATTACAAATGCAGGGGCAGCTAGTGGAGTAATAACTTCTACTCTTTATGACCCTTGAGTCATAAAGAAGATTGATACGTGGGAAGCATTTAATCGAACAGCTTTTACACTGGCTGAATAAATCAAGCTTTTGATTGTGATTGGTTAAAGATAAAGTTCGTGCAAACTATTTGCTTTAATAACCCACCTTTAACAAGTTGTTATCAATAAGAATTTTAAACTGATATCCTATATTTAAAAAAATAAATGTTATACTTAACATCATTAGTTGACTAACGATAATAATTGAATCTTTCTTTTGTGGTCAATATATATACATATAAAATTGTTTAAACAGAGTAAACCGGTATTACTTTAATATTAGTTTGAATAGCTTTCCCTATAAAAACAACTCCTCTCTTAAACATGTAAAGTGTTTGTTGCCATTTAATATTTATCGAATCATTCGTGTTAGCAAAATGTATTTTGGCATTCAAAGTTTTAGTAAACACAATGCAAAGCCGGGTCGCCGGAAGGGTGGCGACGCTAGGTATAACGAACACTCAACTTGATTACGTTTTAGGTGTTGCCCCTAGGTCAATATCAAAGTATGGTTTTATTTTGTAAGTTTACGCTGTTATGTTATAGATTATATTTTACAGATTGCAATTTTCGTAAATGATTTAGCCTGAACTAATTTGATATTCGTACCTACTTACATGACCAAGAGGCATGCCATGTTGTAGGAAAGCGGATGGACAACTACCACTGCCGAGAGGGAGCTTAATTTTGTACACCAACATTTGTATCAGATAAAAATAAATCGTGTCACAGCGATTAATGTTTCCTAAAAGCTTCCCCCTTCACCTTGGCCCTGATTCATACTCCGATTACTTCCTGAAACCTTTGAACAAGCCTGACGGGATCGTATACTCTTACATCTGTTTTTTTTCCTTTCAAATATGAACTATGTCGTAAATTTTGCAGACAATGCGTTTTGGTGACTAGACAATACAGATGAATTCCTTTATGTAAAAAAGGAAAAATTATTCACCTATATCTGGAAATTCGTGAAGTTTATCAACACCTGACTGTGACAAACATTCACACGAAGCAATCTATGGCAGCCATTGTGTTAAACTGATGGTAACATGTTATGATGTGGGTAGTGTTGTAGTATTAATGTTAGTGTTATCCCAGTATTGATTCCTGGGTCAGGCAGGTAACAGCGTTTGTGTTACAGTATCTCCTCCCTATATAACCATACCTTTACAGAAAATATATTTGTTCTATTAGTAATCTAACACGCGTATATGCTGTTATTCTTTACTCTAATCCGCCCATACTTTATTCAAATTAGGTTGTTGAATTTTAATAAATCTTAAAACGTTAGATAAAGGCTTAGTTTTGTGGTTTCTTTACCTTTTACTCGATGGGGATTATTTTATCCTACTAATTCTTTTAGTATCCATTTAATAATTGCTTAGTGAAAAAATTTCCATGATTTGCACAGTAAACAGGAGATGATATAATGTAAATTAAATACATGAAATAAATTTAGTAAATGGTTTCTTATCGTTTTTACCAAAATTTCAGATGCTTCGCATTCTTAATGCTAAAACTTTTAAATATAAATAAATTTTCCCTACACTTACACACAAAACAAACACACGTTAATACTTACGAATTTAACAGATCTATTTAACAAATTACTATTTAACTAACTAATTAAAACTGTTTTAATGTAATGGACCTGCTAAAACATGCACACACCTGTGAGCTAGCCCTTAAACCGTATTATGTGCTTTCAAGCTAACAATTTTAGTGTAAAATGTAAACACCTTTTCTGTATTTTGTAATTACAGAAAATGATTGTGCTAAGGAATTCGTATGTCAATGTTTGATTCTCTAACACTTCATCAACTTAAGATCAAACACTTAAGAGAAGAAATTATTGTTATTGAGTTAAATAAATGAAATAGTCATTTTGGAGTGTTCTATCACTTAAATTCACATTATTCTTAAACAGTTTTAGAACAATTGAAGAGACTATTTGAATTGTTCCAATATTTATAAACTATGATTGGACAATATTTTTGCTATTATATATTGACAAATGTGTTTATTAGTGCCGTACTATACAAATTTAATTTAATTCAAACAAATTGTTAGTTTAATATAGTTGATTTTGAGGCACAACCAGCCTGCACTGTGGTTAAAGAGCTGTCAATCAGTGTCTATTATCGTCAATTAATTAACTAACGTTCTTGGAACAACCATGTCTGAGAAGAAGTTAGGTTGGGAGTAATTACTTGGAATTTAGTTAGATCTATTTAATGATTTATGTTAGTTTCCTCATACTCGGTGATGATTAACAAAAATTCTATCTAAAAAAAAACCACTAAGTGGTAACACTTTCCCCGCCAAGTCAGCAATCCAAAAAAGATAATAAATCATTACTTTTTCCGCCAAGAAAAACAATGTAATGTATGTAAGTTTGGCAACTTGGCGGCAGACTTTTGCTCGATCACTTTAAAAATACCATAAAACTAGTTTCATTGAGCAAGTATCTCTCCCATTAGTACATTGCTAGGTGAGAGCTTATTTTACAAAACTTGACCTTATTTGTGCCACATTTCATAAAATCATAATAGTGATGGTTTTATATTTACTGATTACCTCGAAATTATTATACTTAGTTGGACTAATTAATTAGAGAAGTTGATTTGTGAAATTATCCACGAACGTAACTTAAATAAAAAAAAAACCAAGCAAAAGTCTGCCGCCAAGTTGCCAAACTTACATACATTACATTGTTTTTCTTGGCGGAAAAAGTAATGATTTATTATCTTTTTTGGATTGCTGACTTGGCGGGGAAAGTGTTACCACTTAGTGGTTTTTTGTTAGATTTTATTTATTTTTGTAGAAAATTAACCGTTCAAATAAAAATACTCTTTTCTCTGAAAAAAAAAAAAATAAATTTTAATGCTAAAGTTGACTGAACTCTCGATCTTCCGGTAGTCTTTGCAGAGGGTACCGGTTTTGTACTCTCATCCTGCACTTTTTCGACATTTTTGGTCTGGCACCACTTCCTGTCTCTCACATAAGGAGCCGAAGAGGAGTCACAACTTGTGTTGTAAAGTGGAAGGTCAGACCTGTACTTCTGCCTTAGTCTGTTGTATTCGAGAATGGCGGATTTCTGAGGCTTCACATATCTTGGGTTAAAGTTAATAAGATGAAGCCCTTCTAATGAAGTCACTCGTGACAAGGCAACATATGATTGGCCACATGTAAATATGGACTCCCCAATATCAATTATTACGCTATTTAAGCTGAGGCCCTGGCATTTGTGAATTGTAACCGCGTAGGACATCGATATCGGGAATTGCTCTCGATACACAAATGCGTTATCCATCACTTGAAACTTGACGTTTACTCGCTGTAGGTGATGGGTAATGCCACAATCAAAGTTAATTGTCACTGAGTCTACGTCATCAGAATTGTCTGTATTAAACCTCAACCCCGTTACTGTTCCAATGGCGGAGTTAACTAGCCCCACAGTGACGTCAATGTTTCTAAGCAACATAACTTTAGCACCAACCTTAATAGGAATAATTTTCTCCATACCAGCCGTTCTGCTGCAGTCAGAGTTGTAAGAGGACAGTATCTTTTTAACTTTGTTTTGTTGACGAGGTAGACAGTCAACTGAGTCTTTTGCAACCAAGTTAACGACAGGACCACTTATTCTATTGACCATTTCATCATTTATTATGGAGCATTGGTAACCAGTTGAACAAAGACACACAGAATTGTTGGGTAAAGCAGACAAGTAATCTCCTAATAGAGAAAGGTTTTCACAAGCAGTTTTTCCATTAAGATGTATTTTCTTGCTTTCAATTAGACGGATGTCCTCAACGGTCATATTGCCTACTCTGACTTTGCTTAACACATCATCAAACTTAGAATCTTGAGCTTGTCGCATGTTTGTAGTAAGTTCATCATAAGAGAACTGTTCAGACCAGATGTTAACACAAGACAGAGAGCCAACAAAAGAACTAAGTTTGCTACTGTCAAGTTCAATGAATGGGGAGTCTTCGTGTACTGGTGGAAGTTGTAAAAGGTCTCCAAAGAGCAGTATATGTTTTTTACCAAACCAGCCGTTACTTTGGTCTGAGGTGTTGAATATTTCACACAATCTGAGATTTATGTACATCAATGTTAGATTGGAGACCATGGACACTTCGTCTATTATGAAGAGCACCACATCTTTCAGGTTGGATCTCAACATTTTTAAAACATCATCAGTAAGAGCTTTGTACTTTGGAGTTTTTCCATGCTCAACTGGCAGCTGAAACACTTTGTAGATCGTAGAACCATTGATGTTGTAAGCACTTAGTCCTGTGGGAGCTGATATTGATGTAGAGGCTTGAAGACATTTTTTAGTCCAAGAGCTGATAGTTTTTATGAGAAAACTCTTACCAGTACCTCCCACACCACTAAAAAAATGTCTCAGAAATTTATCTGTCCCATCAGAGTTTGCAACAACTCGTTTGACATAATCAAACACTCTCTTTTGGTCGTCATTGAGTTTTGGTATTTTTTCTCAAACGGCTCGTCATTCGGCGACCAATTGCTGTCCCTGACAGGCTGGGATGCGGGGACAGGTTCATTAAAGGGCTGAAAGGCTATATTGGATGGATCAGCAACCTCTCCTTCTTCTGCATTGATCTCTTCAACTCGGTTTTGAATTTTGTCTCTTGCATTCTCCGATGCCGCAATAATGTCTTTTAAACGTTTGTCATAGTTGAAGGCTTGAGTGAGAAGTGTCCGCTTGGCCATAAAAGCATCTGTGTATGTTTCATGAGACTCTTTCAGCTCATCAGTAGATCTCCAACAAAGAAACATAAGAAGTAATGCATGGTAGTATTTTTCAGGATCCTGAGTGGGGCTGTACTTATAGTGATTCAGTAAGCATGGTCTGACTCTTTTAGTGAGGAATTTGCCTGAATTCAACTTATGCACTTCACGGTCGCCTTTAGGTGGTTGAGCAGCTATATCGTACCATCTCACAAAGTCGTATAAGTTCATATCTTCTAGTTCGTCTGGTCTAGTTGGGTAGTGGTCATCAACCCACGACTCGTAGAATATGTTCGTTGAACTTGGGTCCATACTTCGTATCTTGTCGATTTTTTGTAGTCTTTTGCGTCTGGTCATGCCTACATCCAACCATCTTATTGTTGTCTCCGGGTCCGTGCCGTACAATGGAATGCCCAACAGTGTGTCACTAGCTTCTAAAGAACCACACTCACGGTTGTTTAAAGCTCTAAGGCCAACGTTAAACAGTCTACTAGCTAATGATTTTGTAGAATTAATCTCTGTAAAAACTTGGCCAGCATGACTTTGTTCACTTTTGGTAGTGTACTTTGTGACATACCAATGTAGGATAGAAGTGCTTTCGCATACATACTGGATGTCCACGTTTCCATTCCAAGCTAGCAACACGGCCGGGTTGTAGTCATTGACAAAGCTCTCGCTTGGTGTTCTGGGTAGGTCATAAAGACGTGACTTAGACTTGAGAGCTTTTCTGCCAGCTACAGACTCGACAACGTCACGCAGAACAAGATTCCCTGTGATTGGCCGGAGGAACCCGAAACGACAAGCCTTACGAAACCCGGTTTTGGTTTTCTTTGTCCGCATACAGTACGAGTTGTGGTGATGCATTTGGTAACTTGTAACTCTGTTGTTGAGAGTAGGTGAAACGGATGCATTTGGAACATTGCAAGTAATGTACTTAAGGATAAAGTCGGCTACTTCTGCGTTGCTGGACGTCCCCATTACAGGAGCATTTTCTACCCACAGAAGAAGATGGAAATGTTGGAGACCTCTGCTTTGGTATTCTCGCCTGTAGAAGTAGTGACTTACTTTTCCTAAAGGAGCAGCATCAGAGACAATAAAATCCAACATTGCCTTGAACTTTATATGGATAAACCGTGACGCACTGATAGGATCCATAGCCACAAATTCACTAGTTTGTTTTTTTTCTGCGCCTGGAACACTCCGGTTAACTTCCCTAATGAACAATGCCATGTCATCCCAGTTCCAATCGCTTGGGCTTATGGTTAAAAACCATGTAGCTGGTCCATAATGCTGAGCCATGCAATTGACACCATTTCTAGGCTGTATCCAGTACTGGCTAGTGTTCCTGAGTTTGGAGAATACTGATGTCAGGTTCCCCTCTAATTCTCCCGATGCAAGGTTGTTCAAACAGTCTCTAGCACTAAGAGAGCCACTGAATCCAGTGACGTTGAGCTTGTTTATATAGAAACATATGTATAAAATGTGATTGCATCTGGTGGCCTACTTAGCACCAATTTATAGTTGACTTAAAATTCGGGCAGATGAATATATTTTTCCTACAGTCACCCGACAAAGTTGGCTTCCTTGTACTGTTTATAGTACGGAAAGCTGCTAATTGCTGCATATTTATACTTTGCCGTACGGTTTATACTTTGTCGCACGGTTTATACTTTGCCGCACATCAGGATTCCAACGAAACAACACAAACCAGCGTGGTTCTATTATGCACGTAATTCGTGTACGCTTGGAAATAGGTTGGCAACACTTAAAGATAATAATACTATGAGCAGCTGATTGACTATTATAACTACGATTTAACCTGTCATTTCGTGTTTATAGTTTCGGTATTTCTTAACCTTCTGGACTTTTCTTTTAAACGTTTTTAAAACATGCCTACGATCTTAATAAACAAGAAAATACCTTTAAAGCATTTTTTTAGGCGCGGAAACCACTTCAAATTACAAAAACATACGGAACTATATTCTCAAAACGCGGAGCACATTTCTTGTCGAGGAAAAATAGCGGAGTGATACGGACCGCGGGTACTACTTTCTCTAGGGCACCATTTGTGTTGCCAGCTGAACCTAAAAACGTGTTGTATAGTGTTTGAAAGACTAATTATTGATATGCTTTATAGTGACTGTAGGAAAAATATAATGTGTAACACGAGTGAAAAAGGCCTTTGCTGCACTCGAGATCATTCCGCACTCGCCTCCGGCTCGTGCGTAAACATTGCTCTCGTGTGCAGCAAAGTGCCACTTTCACCACTAGTTACACAAATAACTATTATTCTTTGTACTTTTATATTTCATTGCTAAGATTTAATTATGATTTAAATGCTTATTGTTGTGAGTTCAATTGTAAATAAAGGTGTTGAAAGTAATAGCCCTCTGTTTTAACGTTTTTAAAGCTTTTACCAACTTAAATAGAATTCAACCTAATATTGAAGTGAATTCCAACATTACTGGCAATGCGTTGGTGTTACATAAGTGTTCTGATAATTAAACCCGTATATCTAAAGACTAGTGTAAATTGAGCCCTTGGGTGACTTTCTACAGCCAGTTTTAACGTCTAGAACTGTGTGCAAAACCTCCCATTTCCCCATTTTTATTTGTCATGAATAAGTAGACATTTTAATACTAACTATGACGATTGCATTCATAAAATCTCAAAACATATTGTAGGCTACGGCAATATTGTCCTAAAAGCTGTTTACTGACTTTCTAAAGCCATATTAATGTATATAATTGTGTCCAACTAACTAACTTTCAATTGCGTAATATTGTTTTATTTGCTGTGCTATTGTCCACAAAGTTGATCTATGTGGAACTTAATACTACTCCTGCTATCGCTTATTAAGTTTAATAAAATCTACATTGATGTGTGTTTAAGACATTGCGTGTTTTAAGGACGAAATGTACGTTTACATTTATTTTTCCAGGGTCCAAGGAGGGGGGGCTTTAGCCCCCCCCCTTGGAACCGTCACGGGGGGAATATCTCTGCTCTAAGTAATTTTATATAGTAAGTAGTTCAAATCATTCGGTATACCTGAAAAAAAAAAACTTTATAAAAGTTTTAAAATAATTATCAGCTGTTCCTATAAATTTCTCTAACATTTAAATTTATTGATATTTAATCGCAGCTGGTCCTTCTTTTTATTTTGATTTGTTTTGATTTTAATCCCATGTTATTTAAATGGGCCAAAATCGTACTTTGAGGGCTTGCCAAGGGTTTATGGGTCAACGTACCGACTTGAGACCCTCAAAAGGCACATCTACACGCTAAGGGCTTTCACACAACATAAAGAACATTAAAATTGAGCCAGTGGTTTGGGCTGTAGGTCCGTCAACATTTAAGGAGAAGAAGGAGAACACGGAAAATTTGTGAATTTTCAAACTAGTTTTTCTTTGCTCAAACACAACCGTTTTTTAAATTCTTTTTTTTATTTTGTTGAGAATGATTGCCCCTATCCAGTAGATGAACAATTATTTTAATAGCTTTTGTTTCTTCAGAGCTATAGACGAGTAAAAAAGCCACTTTGTCACGTCATGTATATATACACTGCAGCAGCTGTGTACCGCTGGGGGACTTGGAGGGGCGGAACGCTGCCGCTACGGTCATTTTTACAATAAATTATTGTTATTGACTTAATGTTTAAATAAGATTATTTAATATTTGTTCGTATCTATGATTGTTTGAGCTTACTGTATCCATGGTATCAGCCACTTTATCCTTAGAGTAAAAACATCATGTTGTGCTGTATTTTCAAACTCCCAGTCCAATGAAAACTCCCGCTTTATCTTATCTACCGCGCGCCTCGCCGACCACGAACAATGAGGTTTTGTGAGTTCAATATTTTATCAGTTAGCGCCGCACCGTGTCGTGGTATCGACTATTTTTCATACTTTTAGCCCCTTTTGGTCTCTATTTTCGTGCCAAGCGTGTGTATTATGGGATGCATTTACAAAATGTGACATGATCAGCCAGTTTCAAAACACAAAAATATATGTCCGTCCAAGTGGATTATGTCATTGCGATTGGTCTTTGCAAGAATCATCAGAAGGGTTATTTTACTTTAGATGAAGCGGTGCTGACTAGTATTAGAGAACGTATTAGTATCATAATCTTATCAGTAGTAATATGCTAACTAGTATTAGTATTGAATGTAGAGAAATATATTTGTGTGATTATTAGTGACGATTGTAGGGTACTGATCAGATGGGAACGGTAACCCTGAATCTAGAGCCAAGACCATGTTCACCCTCCAGAACTGGCAGTCTGCCAGGTAATTATGTACAAGAAAATATATAAATCCAAAATAATGTGATGTTGGGCTACTATCTTTACCCGTTCATTTAATTTAATTTTGTTGTTGTAGGAATTAGGTAAAGTGTAATACTAAAAATTGACGAAATCGTTAAAATTGGAAAATAGTGTTTTCTTAAAATATGAACACAGGCAATTAAGTAAAAGGGTTGGAATTTTCTATAGCTATGAGTTTTTAATTTGCACACAGGAATAACGGGTTTAGCTTGTACAAAATGTAAACTTGTAATGACAAAATTAATTAAACATAAAATGTTCGAGTAAATATATTTGAAAAAAATCTATATAAGGATAAGGAATAAGTAATGCAATATTAAACAAAACCAAATTTCCTTGGCGTGACACTTGTTATGCAATTACAACCATTATTCATTTTCTTAGTTTATTCTGGTTAAAAAATATTACATTTGATTAAAACTGAAAATTTTCCTTAAAATTTAAACTATTCGTCGTATTTTATATTTTTATGTTCGGGTTATAGGCTACACATTGTGTTTATAAAAAAGGTTTACAACTACAAAGAACCATAAACATTTCGTTCTCCACTTAAAGCTATGAAATAACAATCATATTCTAGGAAATCATTACAAGCTTTGGTACATATTAAGGGATTAACATCAATGTGTTTGTAAGCCGGTAATCTGATAACACTGCTACTGATTACAACTTTGCTAGCCACTCTTTCATGCAGTGTTTTTAGAAAACTTTTATGTAAAATGGAAAGAGAATGGGAGGATGGTAGATTTTTGTATAAACACCCTGTATTTCGGTTGGTATATACTATGACCTCAATGATAGATTACCTCTTTAATACATTTTCCATGTTCCCAAACAAAAATATCTGTTCGTGATATTTTAATGAAATGGAATTTAATGCTTTAAGTTGTTACGAATTAATTTTTAATTTTTTAATTTTTTTTACTACCTTATTCGGGAATCATAATTTAAACATACATCATTATGATCATAATTATACATCACTGATTCATCGATGATTCGGAAAAACTAACACGTCATAACATATACAATTACAATCAAAGAAAATAAAATATGTCAGACCTATCTAACGCCAACTGCCTTTTACAACACTTGATATTCGTTTAAAATAGTTTCTAAGAATAATTTGTAATATGTAAATAACAAGTTTCAGTTCTGTTATTAGGAGCTACATGGTTCTAATAAAAATAGTCGCGAAATACCAGCTGATTTGAAAATATTGCTTAGTATATTTTATTAGTGCTATGTGGCAACGTTGCACTAGCCTTGTCTTTTTAGTGAGTAGTCTGATAATTTCAGGAGTCTCACACTACAGGCTGGCTACCTGTGTGCGTAAAAGCATTTTCCCTCCTCTCCCTAAAAAAAAACAAAAAAAAAAAACTAGCCTTGTCTTGTGATTGGCTGTCACCATCTGCAAACTTACGTGGCCCGGACTCTACTTACGTTAAATATGTTTGTGTACCAAAATGCATTGTTCAGACCTTGTGCTTTTCACAATCTATATCATGAGTCATCTTTTGACCTTTCGCAGCTTCCAAAACCTATTCACATACACATCCTATTTTCTTAACTAAGACCAAAGCTGGACGAATGTGTAATTAATTAAGTTCGTCAGCAATGAAACTCTTGATAAAATAATTGAAGTACGTTTTCAATGCAAGGTTTGTTAAAAGTTTGAATGTATGCTACACCTCGTTATCTGATAGTGAGTCTGATATGAAGAAATCCAAAGTTGGTCTTTGGATTACGCTATTCATTTAAATGTGGTTTAGATATTTGTTAAATAGTTATAATAGAATACCATACGTATATGTTAGTAAATTAATTCAAAACATTTCGGATTGAATAACTTTTCCAAAACTTTTTACGAACCATTTTAATACCTTAGTGTGAAACAGAGGCCCCAT